TCTTTAAAAAATGGATAAAGTTGAAGAACATATGGTGTTGTCATGTTCAGCGTGACATCATGGGTTAGAAAATCGGGAAATGATGGTTGTCAAATTATCAAATTCCATGTTCAATTTACGTCGATGCATTCTTAAATTTCATGTGTAGAATGTTAGGTTAGGTATGAAAGTTTAAAAATATGTTTTAAGTGTCTATATTAGACAAATTTTACTGCTGAAGAAAATAATGAGAGTGCATTCATAAACTTGATGACATATAAACTTACAAAGACTTTTATAATGATTTTTGACAGAGCAAGTCAAACTAAGGATACTCCATCTTTTTCATAAATACCTCTTTTTTTCTTTTTTTTTTACTTATGATGTTTAAAGTATTATGAGTTTTCGCTAATATTTTATTTGATCCGCATTTGTGATGATTTTTACAAAAATAAAATTATCTAGGAGATACAAAAAAATTTCAATGATATATTATCGTTTCTAAAGCTTAGGTGTATCTAGGAGATACATAGTATAGTCAAAGATATATTGTCTTTTTAAAGCTTAGGTGTTTGGAGAACAAATTAAGCATCATAAATTGGTACAATCTGCACTAATTTTAATTTTATTTCAAATAAAATGTTCTTCATTCAATTTTATCATTACAAAAAAATATATCACTAAACATCAAAAATCCATTGTTAAAATATTTTGGGAAAATATTCAAACAATACTATCATATCATATAATTATATAAAAGAGAATTATAGGCATGCCTATGTGGCGCCACCACAAAAAAGAATTCTCGTTTAATTTATTTATTTCCAAAACTAATCTTCGACTTTCATGAAAATTTGTAACTTTTATGAAAAGCCGCGACATTAATGAAGAGTTGTCACTCTTATAAAGAGTTGCAACTTTTTTGAAAAGTTGTGACTTCAATGAAAAGTTGCAACTTTAATGAAAATTTGCGACTTTTATGAAGAGTTGCGGCTTTTATGAAAAGTTGTGACATCATCGAAGGGTTGCAACTTTTACAATTAGTTGTAAAATTTATGATAAGGCACAATAAATATTCGCCTACATCATTCTTTGTTCATACAATAAATAGAGAGTTCTCCTCTCATTTTAGAAAAACAAAAATTCTGAATCTCCTTTTCTTCTTCTTCATAATTAAATATTGATGTACCCTTCCAATGTTGAGTGGCTAACAGACATTATTGCTTATATTGAATATCCTGAATGTATTTTTACAATCATTAATTTATGTGTATATATTATTAAGGATAAATGATAAGATGTAATAATTTCTATGTTCCTTTACATTATTAGTGGTTCTTATTACATATTATTGTGTGTAAGATAATATAGAGTTTTAGGTTTATTGACCGGTAGATTTTAAGTATTATTTTATAAATTATAAAATATAAATATATAGCGCGAAGCGCGGATATTTTTACTAGTTAGCTAAATTATTTTAATGATGAAATTCATAGCTAATACATGTTTTTCTTGTAAAAATTACAAATTGATTGTTAGATTTGATAATTGGCTCCCAAAAAATTTTCCTTTGTTTTGTCTACTTTCGCTGCCAAATCTATATTGTAAATCTATTTTTTGGTACACTAAAAAAATATTAAAAGGAAAAAATAAATTTTGATAATTCAAATTGTTTGAATCTTCTAATAGAAAAAACTTCACATTATTGTTGGTATCTTTCTAATCTAGAAATTGTTCTTTATTTTAAAAATAAAATTGTAAAGACCCTCAAAGATGAATTAAGGATTCTAGAGCATCACATGTGCCTAAACAAGTTATAATATGTTAATAAGGTGTTTTACAATGTGTACAACATATTTGAACAGATTTGAAGGTCAAACGTCTTAGAACGTCCAAGATGTTCGAAAGTTAGTCTCTGGATGTACTAGTGTGTGCTAATGTGCCTTTGCATGTTTTACGTTACTTTTGGTGCTCAAATTGATAAGGAAAGACCTTAACATGGGTATGATCATATGTATGTTCAAAACGTTCGGGCACGACTCCTCAAAGACCACCCAAAGTGTCCTTGAGGAGTACCCAAACGCTGCCTAGACATCGCGTTGGCAATTTTAAAACGACGACCATGCAATCAACGGATTGTGCCTTCATCGAGGCACCGTCGATTGGGGGCGTTGCTCAACACTTAGAAGTGTGAGCTCATACATCCCAGGAAGTAGTCTTACTCGCAAACAATTGAGCATCAAGACGGCTCGTTTATCAGACGACGCTCCCTCGACAACACTTTGTCGATGCAGCCTGCAACTTCTTGACATGCACATGACAACATTTTTGTTAATGCTCATATGGTCCATATTAGATGGGCCATTATCCCAACTCATGAACCCACTAGCCCACTAATGGGAAGGCAGTTGACTACCTTCCACTTCAAGTCAAAAATTTATTGTTGTGCATGATACCTCTGAAGTTCAATTTTATGTTGAGCAACCAAGCAATGTGATTTCACAAGCTGCTGAAAACATGACTAGATCAAGTTGTTTAAGTAATTCCTGAAATTATTGAACAACCAGTTGAACAACACAATCCATAGGAAAAAGTTGGTGCAACATTGAGAAGTTTACTAGAGAAAGAAACTCAGCAATTCGTGGTGACTTTGTCGTATATTTGCAAGAATATGACATTGGAGTTAAAAATGATCCTAAGTCTTTTTCACAAGCCATGAATTCTAAAGAGTCTGAATTGTGGTACAATGACATGAAAGAAGAGATGAATTCTATAAAAACTAACGAGGTCTTGGATCTTTTCGATTTGCCTTGTGGGTTAAAAACCATTGGATGTAAATGAGTTTTCAAGACGAAAAAGGACTCATCAGGCAACATAGAAAGTTATAAAGCAAGAGTTGTTACTAAATGATTCACTTAAAAGGAAGGAATTGATTACTCAGAGACATTTTCTCCTTTGTTTAAAAAGAATTCCTTGCGCATAATATTGTCATTACTATCACACTTTGACTTTGAATTGAAATAAATGGATGTTAAAACCACATTTGTCAATGGTGATCTAGAGGAAGAGGTTTATATGAAACAACACGAAGGATTCTCTTCTAGTAATGGTGAGCACTTGGTATCCAAGTTAAATAATTCCATATATGAAATAAAAAAGATTCCCATCAATGATATTTGTAATTTCATAATGTTATCTCTTTATTCAACTTTGTTGAGAACACTATGGATCAATATATATCATAAGATCAGTGGGAGTAAAATATGTTTCTTAGTTCTATACATCTTATGTTGTTTGTATTAGAATCATCGAGATAGACATTAATGTACCTTAGGTTGATCTCAAGAATCCTATATCAATAAAATTTTAGAGAGGTTCCGTATGAAAGATTTTTCACCAAGTGTAGCTCCTATTATGAAGGGAGACAAGTTCAACTTGAAAAAGTGCCCGAAGAATGATCTTGAGAGGGAACAAATGAAGGACATTTCTTATGCTTCTGCTGTCGGAAGCTTGATGTATGCTCAGGTTTGTACAAGACCTAACATATCATTTTTTGTAATGTTAGGAATATATCATAGTATCCAGGTCTTGACCACTGGAGAGAGAGCAAAGAAAGTCTTAAGATAACTTCAAGGAACAAAAGACTATATGCTTATGCATAAACGATCAGATAACTTTGAAGTCATTGGCTACTCTTATTCAAACTTTGCTGGCTGAATTGATTCACAGAAATCAACTTCAGGATACATATTTATGCTACTTAGTGGGGCTATATCTTTTAGAAGTGATAAACAAATTATAGTTATTACTTCTACTATGGAGGCTGACTTCGTTTTTTGATTCGAGGCTACCTCACATGGTTTATGGTTAAAGAGTTTCAATTCGGGACTTAGAATTTTCGACTCTTTATCTAATCAATTAAGGTTATATTGTGACAATTCAGCTGCTATCTTTATGGCTAAGAATAATAAAAGTGGTAGTTGCAGAAAGCATATTAACATCAAATATCTAGCCATAAGAGAACATGTTAAATAAATCATTGAACACATTAGCACTGAAAAAATGTTAGCTGATCCTTTTACTAATGGCATTCCACTACAAAAATTTAAGGATCATGTAGTCCTAATAGGATTTAATTCCACTATGTAAAATTTCGTTGTAACAATGAATGTTTACCAAACTCTATTTTGTATGATATTTCTCGTTAAGTGTGTGCACATTAAGTTTTATTTTCAGAAATATCACTAACGTATGGACCTTGAATAAATATTGAGTTTATTCATTTAATTCTATGGGTTAAAGTTTAGAGATATAGTGCATCGTGATATATAGAAGATACTACTCACTGCAAGAGAAATTTTAGCCATGATTCGTGTATTATATTTCATTAATGAGATTACAATATACGGGCCAAGTGGGAGAATGTTAGCATTATTGTTAATGCTTATATGGTAATTATAGATTGTTCGATTATCCCACTTCATTGACACATTATACCACTAATAGGAAAGTCGTCAAGAAATCATTATTGCATTAATGGAAAGGTAGTTAACTATTCATTATCCCACTAACGAAAATATGGTTAATTACCCATATCCCACTAATGGGATAATGATTAAGTACCCATTATCCCACTACATGAATCCACTATCCTATTACTCTAGTGGTTGGTAACTTCCCATAGCCTCTTAACCGTTCTTGATGGAAGCAAAGTTGTAAATATGTCATTTGGTTAAAAGGTCCCTAAGCACATTACTTCTAAAAACTCCATACCATCTAACAGTGAGGTTTTGAGTGCTTAAATGATATTTGAAGAAAAGGAATTGTAGATTCTGACTATATCGCTAACAATGGCTGGAGGTATGTCGATCACTCTATATTTCCGCTGCATCATTGCTCTGTAATGTCTAACAGCACGCTGTCCATTAAAGGGGTAAATGCGAAATTCAACCCACGTACAAAATAAATCCAGGGCAGTTATTTTATCTATTTTTGGGTATATTAAGTTAGTTAATAATACTAAAACCCCATTCTCAAATTTATTCATCAAATTTCACCCTTCCCTCTCTAAACAAACTATTTCTAAAAACCTCCATTAGAGATGAAACTCAAGAAAATCATAGAGGTTGGATTTTCATGGTTTGTTTATCAAGTTGTCATGGTCATGGTATGTAATGAGGTATAGTAATTCTTCATCCTTATTTAACAATTCACCTAAGGAGTTCCTTCAAAGGTTTTCCAAGAAGATTTTATGATCAAATCCTTATCATTCAATCTAGACATGGATTTATTGTCAAATTGTTTTCAAACGCATCCTAATGATGAATCGATGATTGAGTAATGCTTTAATGATGAATTTTAATCCAATTTCATGAATAATCCATGATCCTCGTATTTTCTCAATTTAGCCTATAATGTGGGAATTATGATCCTAATGTTAGGTTGATTGAATTGTGGTTCGATTACTTTATTATTTCTATTGCTACTATTTTCTATATGAATTCATGGTGAATTATTGGTAATTTATCAATGATGACGAAAGCTTGGAGAATTGGTAAGATTGCCATATTTCCTCTACTTTGTATAAAATTGATAGTTGAATTGACCTTGAATGGCATTGTGTGGTATGGTCCACTTATGGTGGAGGTTTTATTTCATTTTCATTCTCTATATGTTATGATCATGTACTTGAAGGAAAATTGATGTATTATGAATGTTTTGTTATGATGATCACACGATGTGAAGTTATATGTCTATTTTCCAATGTTAGTATCATGTTTTAGGTGTTGATAATGTCTACTACGTTTGATTAAAGTTGTTACGGTTAGGTATGGTATATGTGTCTATAATTGATAAAATTCTATTGATGGATGACCCCCTACCTATGTACCCCTACATGAATGTGTTGTCTAAAGCATGGTTAGGAGTCTTAGATTCAAATGTTGAAGATGTCTTATTTCATATGCTATAATGTTGTGGATGGTCTATGCATGAATTTGTACTGTGATCTTTAGAGGGTGGATTGCTCAATATTATGTTGATAGTGATTATGTGATCATGTTTACCAATGTACACACACTAACACTTTATGTATGTGTACGAGTATGATAAATTCATAGTGTCTAATGAAAGGATAATTCTCATATGCACTATTGTCTATTACTTGTCTGTGCATGTAAAGTATATGTTCATGAAAGTATGAAAATGTATCTTAACTAGGATGACTTGATAGGTGTACTAGTATGGATAAGAGTATGAGACTTTTCCTTAACATTGCACATGGGTACCTTGACAGAATAGTTCCTAAGGTGATTACTCTATGTACATGAATATGAATGCATGATTAAGATTTGCATATGAAATTAAAGTATATGTTATGATTGCAAGTATATGATCTGATGATGTATGTATATATGTAATGTATAAATGTTGTATGTGAAAGGTTTCCTCTTCATATATGAACACATACACACACAAAAATGAATGCATACATGAAGCATGTATGATAATCTAGTAAAGTAGGGTCCTTGGAAAGATGTTGTTCTCAATTGAACTCTAAACTAGAAGGTGCTTGAATATGCTATGTCCATGCGAAAGGTTTTCTCATATGAGTTAGGTCGATGAAAGGACAATTTTCATCTATAACCTTTCAGGGACTATTCTCCTAAATCTTGATTTTATCAAAGTAATATTAATAAACGCTTTTCAAAAACTGAACTTCGCTTATCACCAAGTGAACTTGACAATGAGAGGGTTGACTCCCCTTTGAGGGATATTCACCCTCTAATTTCTCATGAGATGAGGACTCCAATGCTAATGGGCATGTAAAGGGTCCAAGACATATATTCTAGTTCCTTATGAATGTTGCCCACATAGACCTAGCAAGTGGATCAATCTAATATGCTAGCATGATGTTTATGTTATACCTTGGCAAGTAGAGCACCTCCTTTTTGATGTGGGGTTCCATGACACTAGATTTCATTTTTAGTTAACATGGTCTTATTTTCGGTTAAGGATAGGGTTTCCCTAAGGTAAAATGGACAATAGAAGTAATGTAATGAACCTTAACTAAGATATGATAAGGGATGTTGCTTAGTGTAGGTGAGGGTATGAGACTTTACCTATGCATTGCACAAGTAGCTCTTAAAGGGAGTTCTAGGAAGGTGTGCTATATCTATATGTACATGTATATGTATTTTATGCATGACGTTATGGTAATGACCTACTTGTATAATGATATGCATAGTATGAGTCCTATTGTGTATATATGATGAGGTCTTACTTTAGATGCCTAATGTTTGTCTTATAGACTATATGATGAGGTCTTACCTTACCTGTATGATGTTGTTCTTACTTGCCATTTGATGGAGGTCCTATTAATGCATGTAGTTGACTATAGTTGTCATTTGATGTATGAAGCAAACGATAAGTCTTTTGGTCTCTTTGTGAGTTTACTTGGTATGTGTGAGATTATGGGGCTTCACATGTACATTGCACTAGTAGGCTTAGATTGAGATTATGAGTAAGGTCTTATGATGTTTTAATGATATAAAGTCCAAGCATGTATTTGTTGACTATTGCCTATTATCATGTTATTGGTAGTGTTGACTTGTGTGTTATCTTAAATTGTGTCTCCTATGTGATTTATGAAGTATGTTGGGTCATATGTGAAATATGTGTCTCATGATATGCGATGTTTCCATGAATATCTGTGTATGAAATTAATGAAGGTTTTATTAATTTCACCTTGGTGACCTTAAGACCATCTCCAACCCATCTCTAATTTACTCTCCATTCTATATATTATGAGAGTAAAATAGATAATAGGTTCTCCAATCACTCTCTATTTAAATCTCTATTCTTCAATTATAAAGAGGTGAGTAGTAGTTCTCAAAATCTGTAGAATTACTTTTTACCTCTCTATTTTACTTTTTTATTATTTTAATAATATTTCTATTATATTACTAAGTTAATATTTATGATTTATAATTATTTTCTAATGCAATATAACATTTAGCAAGTTACTACTTCTGCCAAATTAATACAACTTCCGCCGAATTATTTATTTTTATTCTATTTTTTAAAAGAAAATGTCAATTTAAATATGTGACTTTAAGTTATTTTACTATTAATTATATTATATAAGATTATTAATTAAATCGCTAATATTTGACAATATTTTCTACATAACATAACATCTAAAACATATTGTTGTCTTTTTATTTTATTCATTTTAAATATTTAATTTAGATAATAATTATATTTCATTATGAAATATGCACAAAATTAACATGAAAATTAAAACAATGTACTTTTTATGTCATAGTGATAAATTATAAAATTATACTTTTTTAAATATAATGAAAATATTTGATTCAATAGTTCAAAATGGAATATGGGAAATAAATTAGTACACGAAATAATTGAATACAAGATGAAATTGTCAATTTACATAATTTTTATCTACACACAAAAAATGCTCATTTTGAACTCTCTAATACATTAATAGAACACTCATAAGAGTAACCTAATAATCTGAAAGTTGATTATTTATGTACGATTTAAAATAAACGTTATAATAATACAATATTTATTATGCAATTATATTTCATTAGTGATTTATCTTCTATTTGAATCGTTCATTAGTATGTATTATAAATAATATTAATCGCAATTCATGTTATATATAATAAAATATAATTTTGTGTTTAAAGAAGATTTTGAAAAACATAAAAAATAATTACATAAAGATTATAGAGAGATTATATTCATAAATAAGAAATAATTAATATTATGAAATAAGAAAAAGAGAATGAAATATAAATAATAATATAACATTAAGATGAGAGAAAAAAGCTTCTTTTTAGAGTGTAAAATAGAGATTTGGTTTTGAGTTGATTGTCTGAAAAATAGAGAACTCAGTAAAATAAGGGGTAGGGTTTGAGATGCCCTGACGTGGTGCTTGAGTGTCGAGAGTGTGTTGAGACACTATTCATGCATTGCACCAAGTGTTACTAGAGGGTTACTTGGGGAGTTAATGACTTAAGGTAAAAGAAGATAATGTTATAAATATGATTGATATACTTAAATGCAATATATGTGGATTTGGTGTGTTTACATGGATAGTGTCTATACCTATATGAAGTATATGAACTATAATTATGTAATTGTGCCAATTTTTTTTATGAAGATTCTTTTAAAAAAAAAGCATGTTGAATGATTTCTAACAAAATGTCCTCTTTAAGTGGCATGTTTTTGCATGATTGTCATACTTAATGCATTCTTATACTAATATCATTCTTCTTCATCTTTTTACACTAAGTGTAGGTGATGGATGATTAGAGGATGTCTCTTAAAGTGAAGGGCTTGATACATGATTCCAAGCTCAACAAAGGTACTTATAATTCAAGGATTTTCTATGTCAAATAATTATTATAAGTTTATGTAATAGCTTAGTTATTAATTATGTTGTCAAAGGTTGTGTCCATATTTATACTCTATTAAAAATGAGTTTAAGATGACAAAAGAGACTTAAAGTATAACTATGTATTAATGTTATGAAAGTTTTAAATTTTTAAGTAGATTTACTATGATAATGCGATGAATGATGTCTATGGGTTTGTACAAGACCTCTGTGAGGTCAAGTATGCCATGTTACTTCTAGGGGGTGCTCCCCGGTCCTGAAAAAATAAAATTCGGTTTAGAGAAAGATAAATGGAGCAGGGAATTTCAAGGTAGGAGTCAAATCCTCACCAATAAATTGAAAGTTCACCTAGTCAACCAACATAACTACTAAGATTCTCCAACAAGCAATTTTTTGTATTTCACGATCATTATTTCTCAAAGAAATTGTAAGACTATTTATAATCTCTCTTCAAATGCATATTTTATTATTCATTTCTATCAGGTTTTTATAAATTTCGTTACTAACAATGCGAGGATTAAATTATATATTCACATTTTTTAATTATAAGTTGACAGTAAAAAAGTAATATATTTATTGAAATCTTTATTTTTGTTGTGGTTTATGCAGGAAAATATTTTTGAATTTTTTCAAACAAGAAGCTAAAGAAAGAATAAAGTTTCATGAATAGAAAAGTGATGATAATTTCTACTGAAAAAATGGAGAATATTAACCAAGATTTCATAAAAATCCTTGATGTGAAAAGACCTCGCAGACATTGTTATCTTTTAGAATCTCGACTTTTTATGACAGGTAAATACAGTACTAATCTATATGTTATAATTTCTTATATTTATATTTGTATTTTAATAGGAAAATGCATAAGTTCCTCCTTAACCTATGCCTAAAATCTCAAAGACACACTTATATTATACTAAATTCCTATTACCCCCCTGAATTTATTATATAAATAATTTTTTACCCATTCATGGCCTACGTGACACTCGTTTGAAAAAAAAATGTCAACACACTTAATATAGTTTCACGTAGCTCGAAAAGGGATAGAAAATTATTTATTAAATAAGTTCAGGGGGTAATAGGAACTTATTATAGTATAAGTGTATCTCTGAGATTTCGGGCATAGGTTGAGTGGGTACATTTGCATTATCCCTATTTTAACTATAAACTAAAATTTTGACATTTAAAAGGAATACTCCATTTCTTCTGTTTCATGTGAAAGTCTTTACTCTTTAATCTATGATGAAAAAAATATTTTTTTTTAATTGAAACGTGATGAACTTTGAACTTGATATCTTTTTATTTAAATACATGATTTTGACTCCACATGAAACAAATAAATTCTAAAAGTTGTGGTCTTAAATACGTTTTAATATTTGTGTCGCTATAAAATTTCTAACTAATAGTAAAATAAAAAAGGTATAGCTTGATTATTTTCAAATACAAACATATTTAATAGATTGATAATAAAATGGTGCTACATAAAATTTGAAAGAAGGAAGAACCTATCATGTTTAATACAAAAAGTCATTTTTTCCTTTTAAACCCATTGTGAGGTCAAATATACAGTGTAAGGATCATAAAACATGGATTATATATTCATGAATAGGGATAATATTTACATTTTTTCAAAAAGGTCTATGTTAAACTAAACAAAATAAGCATCTTATGGATTTACAAATTATTTAAAACAAGTTAGCACAAGATGTTTTGTTGGGTTATGAAGGTAATTAGGCGTAATGCAGAATCTTACAATTGTAGATCATATGTTGATAAAGTAGCTGACACATAAAACTATACTAAAAGATATTATATTATTATATTATATGTCCAATTGAACTACATAATTAAAACTAATAAAAGGGATAATACACAAGTACCCCATCAACCTATGCTCGAAATCTCAGAGACACACTTATACTATACTAAGGTCCTATTACCCTCTTGAACCTTTTTTATAAAATATTTTCTACCCCCTTTGGCCTACGTGACACTATCTAGTGTGCCCAGCGTGTGCTGACATTTTATTTCAAACTAGTGTCACGTAGGACGAAAAGTGGTAGAAAATTATTTATAAAATAAGTTCAGGGGGGCAATAGGACCTTAGTATAGTAGAAGTGTGTCTCTGAGATTTCAGGCATAGGTTGACCGGGTACTTATGCATTTTCCCTAATTATAAAGACGTTAACTATAGAGTGCAAAATCTCCCATATACAAGACTCTCCAAACGACTACATCGTGGATTCTATTGTGTTATGCTATTAGAAAGGGATCTTCAATTTATAGCCCCAAACATTTCCTCGAAGAAAAGAATAAACCAAATATGGAAGAAATTAAATTTTCTTTGCGTTCGAATTTGGAGTCATTATTATTAGGGAAATGACTAAGAATTCCTAATTTTATTGCAAAATTGTTTGTGGATTAGATGCAATAGATGTACATATTAAAATTTTAGAAAAGGGGCATAATGCACAAAACAAACGTTAAAAATTCAAAATTACTTCATTTCCATTAAAGAATTACTCCACTTCCCTTGCTATTAAATTTTTTTTACTCACATAGTCTTGCCTATACAAAGTAAGACACATAAATATTTAAGATGGTAGTGTAGGTAAGGTAAGAATTCTCTATATTCCCTGTAGCTAATGATGAAAGATAATCTGGACCATTTTTCTCAAGATGAAAATTTTGTTCCCTCCTAGTTTGATGCGCGTAATTTTTTTTTGTAGGTACAAAAAAAAGTCGAAGCCATAATTCATACGTAGGACACCTGACATTGATCTATAATCTTCATGTATTTTTATTTGTTACGCATTCTTTATTCAAGGAGATTCAAATCAAAGGAAGGGATTTCTACCTCTAAGTCTATGACATAAGTACTTGAACATTAGATGGCTTTCAATGTTTACCAGGTTCCTCTACTATAGATGTTTAATCGTTAGGGGGACATCAATTCTTATCAGATTTTGATACTATAGAGAATCATCTTTGATCATCATTGTGCATGAAATTCATTGAGAGTATCAAAAAATTTAATTCGTATTGTTCTCAAATTTTTGGAGGACAGGAAAACTCTTCGGGATTACTTCATCTTTGGTTATTAATACATATCCCATGCTATTATTATCTACAATAGATAGAAATTTGATTGATTATATTCCTACACAATCTGAATTTAAATATTGTGAAAGGGGGATGAAGGTAATTACAATATTAGAAACTCATGAAAATCATGACAATTCCATATTTTAATTCTTTTGAAAATATTAGGTGATTAACATTCCTTAACCTTATTATGATACTTGCTACATAACCCCTAAAATCCTTTTCTTAAAAGAAATTTTTTGTCGTGTAGTCCATCTTATAAAATAACCAAAAATTAAAATAAAATTTTGGCCCAACCAAAAATAAAAAACAATCTATTTCTAATATCATTAGTGTAAAACACACTCTCATTAAACCTATCTATAAATGCTAACTTTAGCTTCCTCTTGATTTAAACTCACTGTGTTGCCTCCTTGCTCACGACTGAATATTACTCTACCCCTTCTCTTGTGGGTTGTACCTGATCTCTAATATAATGTTCTCATCTCACTTTTTATCTCACAAGATGTGTCACTCATTCAAGTTAATGTGACTCCTATCTTTTCCCTTCTCTTTTTCATCACTGATTAGACTCTTCGTTATTTCTCCAGGTGAAAATGTTTTTTCTTGGAAAAGGTTACTCTATAAATTTTTTGAAATTTTCTTTTGATTTTTAAAATTTGCTATAAGATAATCAAAAGAAACTCTTCAATTTTTTACTTAGAAGATGTTATTTACTCTATTTCGAATCACACATGTAGTCATTACACATTTTTTATATATATTTAGTGATTTGAGATTAAAGATTAAAATATGTAGCACTATATTCATGTTGGAATGTCCTATACATATCATGACGGGATATAGATTAGTCATCATAGATATGAAGACCATCAATTCGATTCAAAGTAATTTGGAATCTTAGAAGATTAATGACTGAATCATGGGCGGTCTATAATATACTAAAATGGAAATTTAAGCAATAGATGACTACATTTTAAATAATTAATATACTAGTCTTTCCTTGGTTTTAGCTCAAGGGTATTATTGTAACTAGCTAAACTTAGTGTATCTACTATTATAAATAGTAGAAACTAGGGTTTATTTTAGGGGTTGTTTTTTGAATAAACATTTGATGTTTATGCTTCTTTGTGAGTTTGGAGAAACCTAACATCTATAAATTGGACCCTCTTGATATATCTTAACTTGTATGGGTTCCATTTCTTTTCACCCTTAGAGTTTATTATAGTAATCAAATGTGTTTTAGTTGCTAGATCGTCTTGTTGGAAATTGTACTCACTCCCGACAAGGTAATGTTTTGATCTTATGGTAAAAAAATTACATTTTTTATGCAAAATTTTTTCCTCTAGTAAAGAATATATTGTATTGCCTTTTTATTATGTTCCATGAACCCTACTACTCTAGGTAGGTATTAAGTAAATTTTGGTGCACCTCTAATATCTGAAGAACTTTATTTCTTCATAATCCAATTATTAGGTCAAGGTAGTATGGGATTGGAAGTATAACGTATATATGTCACCTATACATTCATTCCAACACGGCGTCATCCAAAAAACCAAGATAATCTTTTCCAACTTGCTTTGAATTGACAAGTAGTTGTTGTTTATGTCAATATTTTCTTCACAAATTGCTTTCTCATAATTTTCACATAATTCTTAATAATGTAAACCTTTTATTTTAGTATAATAAATATAGTGCTAGCTTTGATCACTTAAAATTATTAGTTTGGCGTTGAAGTACTTTGCATTGAGTGTTGCAGTGGTGTACAGGAGTTATTATTGTCCAGATATCCAACTCAAAATGTCACTTAGCTTGGACCAGAGTGATCCATAGCTTACGTAAAAATATATAGAGGATATAAAAGAAAAAATATTATCAATGTATATTGCAATGGGTGTGCAGGAGTTATTATTGTCCAAATACCTAATGAAAAATTGGCTTGGGCAGCAGTGATCCATAGCCTATATAAAATTATAGGACATAAAAGAAAATTATTAATCATTTATCTGTATAAAATGATTTGGGTAACCTATTAAAATGTTGACATTTATTACTAGAAGTTTTGTAATTAGAATGAGTATACTTGTCCTAAGGTACAAAGTGTTTTTTGCTCATTGAGGATGCTCCTATATTTTGAATAATTAATCGGCTTAACTTTTCTTAGTTTTAGCTCAAGGGTATTATTGTAACTAATTTAGGTTAGTTTATCTACTATTATAAATAAAATAAAAGAGGGTTTATTGTAGGAGTTGGTTTTTGGATAAACATTTGATGTTTAGGTTTCTTTGTGAGTTTGAAGAAACCCTCATATGTGTCCAAATGAACCCTCTTGATTGCTTATGTAAGTCTTCACTTGTATGAGTTCAGTTTCTTTTAGCTGCTAGACCATCCTTTTTTACTTCTAAATCTCTGTCTTTATTTCTGTTTCTCCATAGTATATATTTGTTTGCTTGATTTTCGCAACTAGTGGAACTTTTGCTTGATAGCTCATAGCTCTCAACTTACATCCTTGAAGGCAAGGTAATGTTTTGATTGAATGCTAAAAAATTATATTTTTGATTCAAAAAGAATTTTCCACTAGTGAAGAATATATTGAATTGACTTTTTATTATGTTCCATTAACGCCTACTGTTCTTGGCAGATAACAATTGAGTTTTGTTGCACCTCCCATCAGTAAATTTTTTATCTAGTCATGATTTTATTATTACTTTAAGGTAGTTGGGGATTGGAAGTATAACTTACACATGTCACCTTACGTTCATTCGCCTTTATAAAAAAAAATCAATAGAATTGACCCCAACTAGCTTAGAATTGACATGTAGTTATTGATTTTATCAATATTTATTTTCCAACTTCCTTTATCATAATTTCCACATATTTCATAATAGTGTAAATCTTTTATATTAATATGATCAATATATTACAAGATTTGGTATTCACTTAAATTTTGCTTAATTTCATACTTAATTACTTAGCATTGGCTAGTAGAGTGGGTGTGTATGTGTTATTATAGTCCGCATACCTAATAGAAAGTATCACTTGGATTGGACCACCTATAGCTTATAGAAAAATATATGACATAAAAGAAAACTTGTTAACATTGTGTGTCGTAGTGGTTTTACATGAGTTACTATTGTTCATATAGCTAATGTAAAGTGTAACTTGGCTTTGAATGCAGTGAACCATAGTCTATGTATAAATATAGGACAAAAAAGAAAATTAACCCATCCAAATGTTTTCACCAGAGTGATTTGCGTACATTCACATCAATGATACTGCAACCCAAATTATACTTGTCCTATGCTACAAACATGTTGAGCTCATTCGAGAGGATGTTCCAACTAATGGTGACTTTCCAAATTGTCATACTTTTCTTGATAAAGTGTATCATCTTATAGAGCTCCAAAAAATTTTGGTGTCAATAATACCCTCTATGTAAAGACTTGTCATAGTGTAAACTTGATACACTCAAAGATAGACTTGAAGTACCCATCAGAATGGAGTTTCAATCTTTGTCATTTGTGGCTTTATATTTGCAATTGATTTGTGAGAGAGGAGATGAAGGTAAATTCAGTAACACTGGACCGGCCAATTTATTTGAAATATATTTTCTCAAATATAATTTTTTATTATTATTAATGTCTTCAAACTATGTGGACCTTCTTAGGATTTATTTGATCTATGTGAAGGGATTTTATGAATCTTGTTGTAATATTTGGTTGTCAAGAAGAGTGCGCCCACATCTTCACCAATTTACGAATATTTAATGAACATATGAAATTTCACAGATGCCTATTGAAGGAAATATATCATAGTTTATATTAGTGTGACCTTGAGTTTAGGATAAGTAGAACCTTAAATGAAATGGGACAGATCTAGTAGAGTCTCACATAATTTTGATATCTCCAATGTCAAATTCTTGTACCATGAAATTTTTTTTGGGTCACATAGTTCCCTTAACTGTCTTGTTGGATATAGTTTTATTGTTCGATAGACTATTCCAGAAGAGGTCTTATGCTTAGAAATGTAGTATCTTTATAGAATATAGTATCAACAAAGATCACACTCAACCACATCAGCTACTCTCTTGCTTCTAATATCCTACTTTACCCTACTACACATTTTTACTTAAGCCATCAAGTACTCTTTGCCAAAGTTGTAAACTTGACAATTATCACTGGGAATGAGCCCCACTTTAAGATCGAATGATTCATTACGGATAAATCTTCATAATTTTACGAGCATCATAAACAATGAAGCATTGGAAATGATTTTATTTTTCTTAATGTTGAGAAGACCCTCATGATGATATTGATAAGACTTAAACGGTTGTATACTAAAAGAATATCTGAGAAAAGAGTTTCCAAGCTGCTCAAGTGATTCAAAAGGAAAATTCTAGAGGCATTTATTTGTTGTATTTAGTTCGAAAATCCTAGCGGTTGGGGTACAAAGATTTAGTTTACTATGATTGAAAAACATTCTTTTACAATTTATGCGGCATGAATGCTTCCCCTCTAAAGTCTAAAGGTTTAAGCCCAGTTTATTGTTATTGTCAAGAGACTGTTGAACTCAAGAATCTTATGAATTCATAGGTATATACGTATGGAACTGAGTTACCATACTCCTCTAAAATAGATTCATTGTTATACCTGTATACTTTTGAATTCATAAGATTCTTGAGGTCAAGAATCTTCAGAACTTATAGGGAAAGCAATCATGCTGAATAAACATGAAAAGAATGCCTTTTGAATCATTGCAAACTAAAGCTTTATATTCCAACTGGTAAGATTTTGGAATTAATGACAAAAAAGAAATGTTTGTAGAAGTTTCGTTTGGAATCACTTGGGAAACTTGGATCTTGTATCCACGTTTGGATGGGAGGCTGAAACTACTTTTTCAAAGGTACTATGGAGATGTTGTTGGGTCATTTGTTGGTGCGATCGTTGGTTATTCTAGCTTTGACAAAGAATACTTCATACATTT